AAAGAGTGGGGTCGGATCCGGAGCCGGACCCCCACTGCCCCATGATGGAATTGGACTACTACTATACCCTATTTGTCCCTGCTTGTCACCATGTTTGGAACTCTAAACCTAACGATAACAAAAGAAAAAGGAAAAAAAATTTTTGAAAGTAAGTAAAATCCTATAATCACTCGACTAATGAGCAAATAATACCCTAATAATACCAGTTTGACTCATCATTCTTCTTCCTATAGTATAGATATAGATAGATTGAGCAGATTAGCTAGGTACCCTATTGCTTTTTCTCTTCAGTGACATTTTGAGTTACCGAGCGATGCACATCGCAGACTGACCAACATCAACTCGAATACGCCTATAGCCCAAGATGTTCCATTTTTGTTTTCGGTCGCTCAAATTTGAAGAAAGATTGTACCATCCAGGGCTCTGACAGTCCGCTGCTACACAGACAATCTCATTCACCACCCTCATAAGAAAGCTACGTTCCATTTTTTACCTTCTAGCTACTCCCAGACTCTATTCAAAAACTCCAGAGACCGATGTGCTGGACCCCCGCCCCGCATTGGAAAAGGAGGGGGGGGGGGGGTATTACAGAAGGGAAAGGTGCTTGAACCCAAAACGGCAAAACCATTTCAGCTAATCACGAATTACATTAAAAAAGAAAAATAAATGCCTAGGCTTTCCCTAATTTATTTCCTGAAGGGAAATAGGCTAGAGGTCCACTTTAAATACGCACCCAGAAAATCAACATAGGACAAACTAGTTCGCTTTATGAAACATCTCCCCAGACGAGTAATCACCAAAATCTGAATCTTCATCCCGGTTACAAATTTCATCGACTCAAAATCAATGTCAGTAACATGATGCTTACTAGTTGTTTAAAAGGGGGAGAAGAAATGCATGATTGAGCACAGCCTTAGATTACAAATAAGCTGCTTAAATTGAGCCAGATCCAAGGCCAGCTTGAAACACAAATGGCTTAGAAATCAAAAGCACTCTCTGTTACCAATCAGTAAACACTCCTGTGCCAATAAACATTATCAGTATGAAGAAAGCTTAATTGGCATTTTCCTTTCTTGAAGAAAGGAAATGGAATCTCAGAGACGTAAAGACAATCTCAACACCAATCACGTTATCTAAACAACATCAAACCCTTCAAAGAAACCCAAGAATCATAAAAAGCACTGAGTACAAGTGTGTACAAGAAGTTTGCAAAATGAGAATTAGACAGATGGCACATTGCACAGACAAAAAAAAAAACAGTGAGGTGAAACAGCAATATTGAACATAAAGCATGAGATGAGAAACATGCACTGACATTTCGTGGATGATACTTATTTATTCAACATAAGCAATATACTAATCTCTAATGTTCAATAACATCTTGAGAGATGCAATTCTGCAGTGGACCTAGCTAGCCCAGGTAGCCACTCTAGTGCATCAACCAAATCATGAATTGGGTCCCCATGTGAATATTCATTGATCCCTGTATAAAGCATGGTTTACATATGCACTTACAGTACCAGAAACTGAAGACAAACAATTTCAAATCCTCAGCCAGAATCTCAAAATCTACCTTACTGGACAAAAGTTTTGCCGTTCTGTAACAACATCATGGTCAGTCATTTTCCGAATAACCACTGTCTTATTGATAAACGTTTATACCATCGACAACATACACACAGAGCAGAGCATCTTGTCTCAAGAGAGCAGGAAACTGACAAAAAAAAAGATGCTAATTCTTGGGGCATAATTCAACTTCAGGACCACAAAACATGTAAAAATAGAAGCACTCCTCAACACAGGATCGGTTATGGTTCCATATTGCCAGAAATGCAGGCATCAGTCAATGCGAGCTCTAGAACTTGCCAACTGAGATATCTAAATGTCATTTGAGGGCTACCAAGAGAGTGTGTAAACTTTTTTTTAGCCAATTAAACCACTTTCATGAATGATGCACGAAGAATGGGGTGACAATACAAGCATTAAGGATGTGGGTACAATGACTATGCACCCTTAATACGGTTAAGTTGCCAACACTCCACCTTCTTACTAACTAGAGAGAGAGAGCGTAAAATCATCAACATGAGTAATACCTAATAATTATTCAAACGAATAACCCACCAATAAAATAGGCAATAGGAATTCAGCCCACGAGCCAAACGAGCATGATGACAATTTTCAGGAAATGATAATTCTAAAACAGGGAGTAGTATTTATCAGAATACAAGAGTTTCAGGGAAATTAAAAAACCAAAACTGAGTACTGCAAAGCAAACAAAATCATTCACGAGCAGAGCCGAGCAGAGCAGGGAAATGCTTTAAATAACTTCTAGATAGATAACAATTCTGCTCAAGTCCTATCAAAATAAGCAACGATGTATAAAGAAAGACAAGGGGGAGATCCTCTCCTCCTCAGAACCTAAGCTTGGTAAAGAACCAGCGGTTTTTACCGGTCTTGAACCTCTCCTCGAAGCGGGTCTTCGCCTCCTTGGCAGCGGTGACCTTCTTGTCGCGGGACTGGAGGCAGTCGCCGGTGACAATGTCCTTGAGATCGACGTCCAGGGTGTAGCGGGTAGGCATGATGTGGTTGTAGTTGACGAGCTTGATGAAGCACTTGACCCTGGACTTCTTGGCCTGCTTCTTGGCGGAGTCCTTCCGGATGACCTTCTTGGGGTACTTGGAGATTCCGGCGACCAGGCAGTGGCCGTAGGGGCGGTCCCGGGTTCCGTCGTCGAACGACCTCACGATCACTCCCTTGCGGCCAGCGTAACGGCCTTGGAGCATTATCACGGCCTTGTTTTGCTTCAGGAACTTCACCATCTTATATCTCGCTTCCGAGCTCCGCCGCTCTCGCTTTCTTCCCTTCTCTCTGCTTCTGTTTTTTTCTTTTTGGAGTTAAGTCTCTTCTCCCAGCGAGGGTTAAAACCCTAGCAACGCGAGCTTTATATCGGTGTGGAGGCAGTGGAAAATGGGTCGTCTGTTTGAAACCCTAATAAGCTCGTATTGACTAATGGGCCTTTGGGGCTGGGTCGTTTTTTCACTTCATGGGTCTCCTGACTTCAAGGCCTTAACGAAATGTGTTTAGGGGCACTTGTGCATCTGTGTAATTTTTTTGGGAGGGGACGCGAATTTGATGATGAAATTTTTCGGTGAATTGGTATAATCACCAAATGAGCTGTTTGTTTGTCGCGATCAAAGTTTTTTTTCTTTGAAATTTATGCATATCTTGTTTATTATGGTGATGGGTTAGTTTTTGAGCCCAAAGTTTGGCAATCCACCCCTCAACGAGCTTTGGTTTGACTTGTGCCAATTTGAAACTTTAGCCTAGGGGTATAATTGAGTCGAATCACTACTTGAGTCTGATTCAAGCTAAAAAATTTAGACTCGAATTTGAGTTCAAACTCGAACTCTTGGAAGTTAAGTTCCAGTTCGAACTCGATTTTATTTTGTATTACTTGAGCTCGTGCTCGTGCTTATCAAGCCTAATTGAGTTTATTTCGAGTTTAATCGAACATAATCGGAGCTAATCAAGTTTAAAAAATATAAATTTATATTTTATACAATTTTAAACAAGGAATAAATTAGACATTTCATACTAATAAATAAAAAAAATTAAAACAAAAACATATATATGTGAAACTCGATTGAGTTGACGGGCTTTTGAGTCGAGTTCCATATATCAAACTTGATCTCGACTTGTCAAGTAGTTAGAGTTGTTCGAATTTGAACTCGGTCAATACGAGTTTGAATTCAAGTTTTATTATTCAAACTCGAACTCGATCAATACGAATTCGAACACAAGTTTTAACTGAGCTCAAACTTGATTAGAGTTACAAATGAATCGAGCCAGTCGTGAGCAACTTGAATCCAAGTTCAACTCAAACTCAATCAACATCAAACTCGAGTCAAGTCGAATTTGAGCTCGAAGATAATCAACTTGTTAGCTCACGAGCCGGTTCGATTTTATACATATATATATTATTTTTAATTTTAATAATAAAATTACATATATATTTCTAATATTTTATTATTTGTTAAAAAAATTATTATTTTATTCATTTTTTAAAAAATAATAATAATAATAATAATTTTTTAAGCTCAAGCTCGACCTTGAGCTTTACAGTTTGAGATCATCGAGTTCGAATTCGAACTCAAGTTTCATAAAATTAAGTTGAGACTCGGATCGATTAGGTCAAAACTCGACTCGTTTGCACTTCTAAACTGAAATTCGGCTCGTTTTAACTAAGCAAACTTGCGAGTTATTTGATTGAATTTGACTTGATTGAATTTGACTCGCTTGCACCACAAGTTCGAACACAAGTTTTAACTAAGCAAACTCGCGAGTTATTTGATTGAATTCAACTCGTTTGCACTCTTATTTCAATTTGATTGAATTCAACTCGTTTGCACTCTTATTTCAGGTAGGTGACGTGTTTCAGGTACGTGCCGTGCTACAGTCCTTTCAATGGTCACGTCATGAGAAAAATTCATCCAAGTTCCAAACAAGAAAGAATCATCTAAAGATTAGAGGTTTTCTTAAATTTTTGGCATTGCCAGAAGGTGGTTGGAAATTTTTATAAAAATCTGGACCAATATTCCCAAACTTCAAGCGGGACACATTGCGACTTTTTTCATTTATTTATACTCCAAAAACGTACAGCAACTTTGTTAGAATTTATCCATCGGTAAAGCACATGTTTTGCCCTCTCGTCTTCTTTAAACTTTGCCCATTTTGCAAATCAAACAGAATTAAAATTCATTCAAAATGGTGTCATTGTAAGTTTCATTCATCATCATCATCAATCATCCAAGACCACTTGCTCGCGCTACACTCTAATATGTAACTGGTCCATCATTCGTTATGTAGACTGTGTTGATGATATTCAACGCCAATACTTATATGAGTCTCTGTATCTCGACTAGAGCAGATCTTTAGAAAAAGGAAAGGAAGAGGGCCCGAATGAGAAGCGAGAACAATCAACAATATAATGTATAGACAGCTGATGAACTAGGAAATATATATGATTATTGACGACGAGAAAAGTAAGACTTACATAGGCAACTGCATGTCCATGCAACAACACATCCGAAGATGGATTTCAAACCTAAGATTTAACTTAAACCAAAACCATTCCTTCCTATTAAAGCAGTACTAGTATAAGCTTATAAGCCAGCTTAGTCTGTCAGACCTCTAACTATTAGTATTTTACATGCACACACACACACACACACACATATATATACCCGTGCTATGTTACTACAAAGTCATCAGAGACTCAAAAGCACCACCACTACTGAATACTGATGGATGGATATATGATATATCAATCCTCATCCGGTGGTTCTGAACTTGGACTCGTCAATGGGGGTTCCTCCTTCCGCCGCACGCTCTCCCCCGGACTTGTCAGTGGCGCTCAGCCCACCCTTCTTCCCCATCTCCTGGTACCCTTCTGTCCCTAACTGCTCCCTCCTCGCTTGTCCTCCTCGGCTCCTCCCTATTCCAAAGTTCATGTGTATATATATATATATCAAACACAGCACAACGTGATCGAAGAAGAAATACAAAAAAGGAAACACAAACTGAACTGAACTAGCGTGTGTGTGTGCGTGTGTGCGCACTTAATTAATGGTGCTGGCACAGGGATAGGCACGTACCTTCTGCAAGGTGCTCTTGAGCCTCTAGACTTTTGCCTCCGGTACCACCGGGGACTACAACCTCTCCTTCCCTAGCCTTCCTGTCCAGCTCAGCTCTGCCTTGCTCCGAAGACATGATTCTATATATTATCTCCCAATCAGCTAATTTCTCTGTCTCTCCTTTAGAGTCTAAACCGGCCGAAACAGAAACTGGATGCACTTTTCTTTCAACAACTGATAACCACCGGGACCCCAGTGTAATTTGCACTCCTGTCGGGTCCAGATTTATAGCACAGGGGCAGGAATAAATTCCGGTGATGAGCAAGCTCGTTGAGGGACGCGTGGTTGGCTGACGGGGCTGAATCCCAGACAACGGAGGTTTACACCAAAGGAGAGGGATGGTTAAAGAGTGACACGAGGCTATAGCAGTCTCCTTTCTCCACCGCTCCACACGTGTGCTACTTACAACTCTTTTTTTTTTTTTTTTTATGGCAACAACATTTCCACAATTTAATTTAAAAGGAGGGGAGTTTGAAGAAATTATGTATAAAGGGTTAGTAGATATAAGAATCTGATTAGATCCTTGTTGGGAGACTCACCCACCACAGTCAGGTGTGTGACCCGGATCGTCCAACGGATTAGTCAGGACAAATCCCTGGATACCGTGGCAGGCAACTAAAAAAAAAAAACTAAGAACATTAATTACACGAAAGAAGAAGCAAAATGACAAACAGGTATAATGAAAAGATCAATTAATAGCATATATTTGGAGATTAATTGCAAGTCTTACGGTCTTTCATTAAGATGTAAGCCGGACGATTTGGAGGGGCGGCAACGTTGATTTGATTACTCTCAAATAACTTGCTGTTGCCTTATTTGTTTCAGAAATGATTATTAATTTTTATGAATATATTAATTTTATTTTTACAAAATAGATAAATTATTCATGAAAAAATACAATTTTTATTAGTATTTTTTCTTTAATACAATTGTAGTTGATTTGGTAGTTACAATGTTTGGATTGTAAGTTATTTGCCCAAATATATTTGCTTACATCGCCATTATAATTTCCAATACACCTTTTTATCTTCCCAATTACCTTTTTATCTCACATACATCACATCACAAAAAGTACTACAGTAAAAATATCTCAAATAACTTACAATCCAAACACGAAGGAGTTATGAGAGATTATATTAACAAATGTGATTATACTATCAGGGTAAAAATTAAATATTTTAGGGGCAAAACTGAAAGTTAAAAAAATGGCATAAAATGTTTACTCCAATCGCCTATGATAGTTAAGAGTAGAAGAGCTGCTTAGAGCTCAAACGAAAAGGTCTTAGCCACTGACGGCAAGGACTAAGGGGTGGGGACAATTGTTCTTGGCCATGAACGTGTTAACATCAATTTTGTAGGAGGATTAATCACAAAAGCTTCCTTCTAAATATAGGCAAGATTTATATATAGTTTACCCTCTAAATTTGGTTTTTTCTCACTCAACTCCCTTAGTGACAAAACTAACCCTTTGTTATTGTAAGTTTTTATTTTTTTTTTTCCTTTCTTTCTCTTTTCTCAACACATACATACATATATATATGTATGTGTGTGTGTGTGTGTATTCTTCATGTAGGTAGAGATTGAACATCCTAAATTTAGTTTGGATGAATTATGACAAATAAACGAAATATGAATTAATGTAGAATCACTATATGCTAAAAAATAATAATAGAACATAAATTCAATTAAAATTTGATTCTTTACAAAAATTTTAGAAAAGGAAACTAATGCATAGGGGAATTTTTTTTGATGCTCAAGAAAAAGAATTTGAAAAAAAAAAAAAGGAAAACAAGTTTGACAAAAAGAAAAGAGGGGAAAAAATCAACATAATAGATATACGTTGATAATTGAGATATACGTTGAGGGGATAAATTGTGATTAACCCATTTTAGAATTTTAATTAGTCTGGAGAACAAATTAAATTGTATGTCTTAATTAAATGGAATTGGTAATTTAAATCAAGGTCCAATTTAATTTTTGGCTGAGCATTAATTCGTTCGTTAAGAAAACACGCGAATGAGAACCAAAATTCCTTGCGTATTTTTGTTTATGCAGGTAGCATATGCCGGCCGGAAAAAGAAAAATAAAAAAGATTTGCCTGAAAATAATAATAATAATAATAAATAATAATTGGGGGATTCTTATTCATCAATCTGACAATGGTGCACATCCAACTCATAAAATAAACACACGGGATCCTTAGTGTCACTTTTCCGGTGACAATTCAGTATCACTTTTATATTTATGCCAAGGATTCCAACTGTAAAATAATAGGATTGATGATCATGAGATGAGATTAATCCAGGAGTAGGACTAGGAGAAGATGTAACGCTACTGCTGAAAAATCCCACATCAACAATTCAACATACGAATTTTTAGTACCTATATAGTCACACAACTAAGTTGAACGTAACAGGAAGTCCAAGCCATGAACTAGAAACGAACAAAGAAAGAATGAAAGATGCCACGCGCGGAAGAAGAAAATGGTGTCGTCGTCATCATCTGTGTGTCGGTGGTCGTCCGTCAAAAGCAGGCGTCCAACACACAACAGCAACACAAGGCCGCACAGCTGCACCACCACCAACATCCGTTCACAATAATTAATATACATATGCTTCAATTAATGCCCCAACCATATTCAATTATCAATCAATCAAAATATCATTTAAGCTCGCATTCTTTTAGCCTATTAAATAGATAGCATACAAGAATAAAAAAAAGTAGGGATAAAATTGCACTATAATTTCTAAAATTGCACTAATTAACCTCCCCAACGAGGAAATTGGACTTATTACTAACAATAAATTGTATGATTTTACTTTTATACCCTAACTAATTGCAGAAACTTAAAATAAATTGAGTGACTAATTAAAGTAGATTACATGTAAGGTTTAGCATCATTAGCCATTGTAAGCAAAACTAAGGTACGGTGCCAATTGAGGGGGGAGAAAACACATACATGTGCCAATATTATGTTCTTCAAACCGGTCAATTTAAATTTAATTTTATACAACCGACCACTAAACAATTCTGGAGTTTCAACTAAAGTAAGTATAAAAAAAACTTGCACAAATGTATCTGAAATTAAGAAATCAAGAAAGTCTAAGGTAGTAGGATTTTTCCTTTGATTCCTCAATTCTTGTAGTCAAAATCCAATCCAGTTTTTTTTTCCCCCTCCTCTACCCTAAAAAAGAGATTAAGGTTCCTTTTTGTTTAGATCAAAGTCTAAAGAATCCCGTGACTACTACTACTACTACACGGCACCCGCAGAAAAAAGTCAAACTAGATATATAAGAGGGGTAATGGTCTGAAAAAAAGAAGACTGACCAGCCCTTCCAGAAGCCATCGTGTCTGGGCGTAGTTTTGCCGGGTGCCGGAGCGGAATCGGAGACTTGAGCCGCGTCTCTGACGGGATATCCGGCAGGCGGTGCTGGAGGGGTGTAAGCAGGGGGTTGTGGCTGTGCTTGTGCTCCTGGGTAGGGATATGCCACTGCATGCAACCAAATCAAATATCGCATTCACATAAACAACTAATAGTAGTGGTAGCAGTAGTAAGAATCATCAAACAGACCAAAACTATGATGGATGAAGCGCAAACGGAACGTACCTGGAGCCTGGTTTTGGTTGTAGCTGCTCATGATGGTGTTGAATGGAATAGGGATGGAATCAGTTAATTTGAATGGAGGAGAATATGAGATGGGACAATATATAGAAGATACAATACAAGATTGGATTGGATGGAGGAGTAGATTTCTATATATATATATAGTAATCAATGTTTAGGACATAGGCGAGGGGAGAAAGCAGGTGGAAGAAGGAAGGTGGAGTAGTTAAAATAAGATGACGGACTTAACAAGCAAGCAAACAACGCAACAAAGGGAAAAGGGTCGGCGCCAACACCGCGTCAATGTATTATATCCAGAAGCAATGACATTATCCAGGAAGGAAGGAAGGAAGGTTTTATTTTATGATAAAAAACGTGGGGCTGCTGGTCCTTAATAAATTAGGTGAACCCTCCCTTTCCACACTTGATATTTTTCCGCCCGGTTCCCTCCCTTTTCTTCCTTCCTTCCAAGTTTCAACAATTTCCTCGTTATCTCTCGTCATCAAATACACCCCACCAATAATAATAACAAAGATAAGAATAAGATCCCATGTAGAGATCCCGCCCGCCTCCATTTTTGCCCTTCTATTTATTACATACACCCCTTCCCCCCCCCCCCCCCCCTAAAAAAAAAAACAATGCAATTTCACCTAAAAACAATAGTAAAAAAAAAAAAAAAACACCACATATGCGATCTTGTGTCATAATAAAAGTCTAAGCAGAATTGATTATTCATTGGTCATGGTTTCTGATTGCCCCATTTGACACGGTTCATGTTTGCTTCCCATTTGACACGGTTCATATTTGCTTCCCATTTGACACGGTCATTGTCCAGTGTCGTCCATTCTCTTCTACATTCCCACCACTTGGGTGACATTTAACTTGCCACTGGCCATTTGGTCGTGTTCGGTGTGGAGTGAGGCCTCTTCTCCCGGACCGCAGGGAATTAGTCGGGCCCCGTAAGGATTGATCCGGATACCCCTGTGTCGACAAAAAAAAAAAATAAAAAATTATAACTTTGTTTATTAGTCCCTCTAATTAAGCATATCCATTTTGATACGATTCCTAAAACTAATTGGAGATCGACTTTTAATTCCCACACTATCTCAAATTGATTTTCTTTCCAGAAGAGAAAACAACACGCAAAAAAATATATCATCAATTTGACCGCTTACTCAATTGCCATCTATTTGGCTGAGTCATTCCTTACCAAAAAGATCACAGAATAGTTTTAGTTCAACCCCCTAAATTTTTATTCTTTTAACCATTTCCAAACTGACACTTGGACCAACTTAATATATCTGTCCACCAGTCTGCATATAGATTTTTCTTTAGCTGGGGTCGTTTGTGCTTCAATCTGTTTTTGTTTTTTTTGTACAATAGGAGGGTTCAGAGGCCCTTAAAAGACACACTAATCTAGAAACCGAAACACCCTCAACATCCCACTAACTAAGGAATCCCTTTAAACAAACCGAATACTTCTAGTGTTCAAATTTATTTGATTATTTTTGATGATTTTAAATTTTCTTTAAGTTCGACTTGCTTACTTTTCCAATCGAGTTCGAACGAGCTTTTTATCGAGTTGAATTTGAGTCGAGCTCCAAACTGTAGTCGAGCTCAAATTACTAGAACTTTTTATATTTAAATTTCACTCATATTTTAATCGAGCATAACTTGATTCGAGCTCTAATACCTTGAATTTTTACATGTATGTTTTACATATATGCTGATTAAGTCGAGTTTGGATTGAACTTGAAAAATTATCAAATACAAATTGTTATTCAAATTTAGTTTGATTAACAATTTGTATTTGATTAACAGACGATTAAAATTTAAACGAACTTTTATCAAATCGAGATGAATTTGAGCACTGGGTAATTATTTAGTTCGTCTTTCAATCTTATATCGGCCAATTGAACTTCAAAAGTCTAGGCTGCTTGATAAGACGTGTAAAACAACTAAATTATGTCCCACTTCTATTGATGTAAACCGTGTTCAGTGTTGGGACAATTGTTGAAGTCCAAGCGTTTCTTTTAGCTGCTTGCGTTGCTACAATTTTTAAATTTTAACCAAAAAAAAAAAAAATAGACTCCAAAAGTTGTCGCTGAAATGTTCAATGCAATTTTATGATATGAAGGAACAGCCAAGATTGACTAGACTGATTCAAATCCATAATGTAGTAATTAATCGAAAACCTAATCGAAATTGTCTAAAAAAAAATAATAATAAAAGCTAGTGTAAGGGCTTCTTCTAAAAGTGCCAACTCCTTTTGAACCGAAACCCACTTATGAAACTTAACTCAATTAAAAGTTATAAATTTCAAAAAAGGTAATTCGTTGTGAAATTTTTAAACATTTTTGTAGATCCTTTTCCAATTGATTTGAGAAAAGTACCCACATGATCAAAATACGCCACCAATTTTGTGTTAACTTGGACATGTGAAACTCGATATCAGCCAACCGACCATCTGTTTGGTGTTCTTAGATTTAGTGGGTGCCTTTGTCCTGGCCAGTTTCGATGTGGGTATACCATCCGTGGCAGCGGTTTAAGAGGACCACACGAAGACGGCCGGCGAAACTCGCGATGGCCGCGGGCAAGCAGGAGAATGATGGCTGCTAAATCGGCATTCGACAAACACGTCAGCTGGCGCGACAAGGAGAACGATGGCATGACATTATTGTGTTGTTTGTTAGTAGCAAGAGAGTATCACACGGGGCTTGGATAAACCTCCACCGGATGGACAACAAAGGTCGAAAAGTTGACTGATTTTTTTAGCTGGGCATTTCGTTAAAATAACACACGATGAAAACCAAAAATGTTTTGTGCCACTTCCAATTGGCAACGTTCATGGTGGTGTTGATCGAGAATGTAGTCCCAATCCTTGTATTTTTGTTTAGGGCAAATTCCACTTTACCCCCCTGTAATTTAGTGTTTTTTACATAACCCCCTTATGGTTTCAAAAACTATACATAACCCTCTCATGATTTGAATTAAAGTGTCAAAGTGACGGGAATGATCATTCGTAACGGAGTCATCCAAAATGTCAAAAATACCCTTATGTAAAGTTGAAAATTATTTATTAACCAAGGGAGGTTATGTGTATATTTTGAAAACTATAAAGGGGTTATATGGTAAAATATTAAATCATAAGAGGGTTATATGGTAAAACATAAAAATTATACGGGGTTAGTGTGTTATGTATTTATAAGGGTAATTTTGACATTTTTAAAAGTTCCGTTACGAATGATTATTTTCGTTACTTTGACACTTTAATCCAAATCATGAGGGGGTTATGTATAGTTTTTGAAACCATAGGAAAAGTTATGTAAAAAAAACACTAAACTACAGGAGGGTAAAATATAATTTGCCCTTTTGTTTGTTTATGCGGGTAGCATATGCGGGCGAAAGAAAAAATAGTAAAAGATCGGCCTGACAATAATAATAACAATTAACAGAGAAGACCATCGAGTACTAGTTTCATGGGATTCTTACTCATCAATCTGACAATGGTGCACGTCCAACCCATACAATAACAATACCAATAAGATCAATCCTCATGAGATGAGATTAATCCAGGAGTAGGACTAGGAGAAGATGTAATGCTACTACTGAAAAATCCCACATCAACATACGAATTTTAGTACCTAGTCACACAATTAAGTTGAACGTAAAGGAAGTCCAAGCCATGAACTAGAAACAAACAAAGAAAGATGCTACTGCACAAGAAATGGCACGAGCGGAAGAAGAAATGGTGGTGTCGTCTCTGCGGTTTTGGGTCGTCAACCGAAACAGCAACAGCAGCACGCACAGCTGCACCAACATCCGTTCACAATATATGTTTCAATTAATACCCCAACCATCAATTATCAATCAATATCATTTACTATTACACACACACACGCACTTAATTTTACTACTAACCTTTTACTTTTCTAGTTAACGAGTTCTTTTTTGTCACTCTTTTTTTTTCCCTTATTTCCTTTTGTTTAGATCAAAGTCTAAAGAATCCCGTGACTACTACATAGCACCCGCAGAAAAAGTCAAACTCAGAGAGGCAATAGTCAAAAAAAAAAAAAGAGGGATGAGGAGAAGACTGACCTGCCGCCGTCGTCTTTGGACGTAGTTTTGCCGGGTGCCGGAGCGGAATTGGAGGCTTGAGCTGCATCTCTGACGGGATATCCGGCAGGCGGTGGGGGAATTAAGTATGCAGGGGGTTGTGGTTGTGCCTGTGCTGCTGGGTAGGGATATGCCACTGCATGCAACCAAAACAAATATCGCATTCACATAAACAACTAATAGTAGTAGTAAGAATCATCAAACAGACCAAAACTTGCAGCTAGAAACGAGATAAACCCAAGAAAAAAAAAGTGTTCGAGAAATAGTGATTGATCTTTTTACAAATAGTATGTGTATATGATGATGATGGATGAAGCGCAAAAGTACCTGGAGCCTGTTTTTGGTTGTAGTTGCTCATGATGGATGGATGGATAGATGCTGTTGAATGGAATAGGGATGGAATTAGTTAACTTGAAGTGAAGTTTGATGGGCAAGACAATAGAAGATACAATACTCATTTATATATAAGATTGGTCTGCATTCCTATATCCAGACTTTTCTGGAAATATTTCCCCAGCATATGCTTATGCACCCGTTTGGATCGGTGGTAATTCATCGGATTCCCCTCAATCATAGGGATGAAAACATCTTGATTTTGAGATCATTTAGGAAAGCGAGTGATTTTAATATTTTCACTAAGGGTCTGTTTAGTTGGAAGTAAAATGTTTTTCTTGGGAAAATATTTTTCATGGAAGTAATTTTCCATGAAAATCATTTCCTTTTCATCATTTTCAGGTGTTTGGTTAGTTTATTGAAAATATTTTCTTACTTCATTTTTCTGGTGTTTGTTTAACTTTTGAAATATTTTCACTTTTATCTCTATCTTTACTTTCTACACATTATAACTACATACTTCTTCTCATGCAAAATAAGAAAATTTATCTCATTGTTTAACTTTAAAAAATCTTGGAGAAATGTATATATATGAATAAAAAATATCTCCTTAAGCAATAAACAAATTGCTGGCTATTTAGTGTCAAATATCAATCACATGCAATGCTTATAGTGACATATATCTTGCACTCTCACTGCTGAAAGTTTCTCTAGAAAAGAATGTTCCTATTATACATAATTAATTACTAGCATAGGATGAGCAGGATAAGGTTTTTTTTTTTTTTTTTTTGAATATACTAGGGGGAGGGTTGGGTTGGATTGGATAGTACGGGGAGGGAGTGTAAGGAAGAGGTTTTGGGTTCAAGTCCTCCTGTTTACACTAAAAAAAAAAAAGAACATATTACAAGATGTTTTCAGTAAGTTTGGAACATACTACAGGCGGGATGCATGTATTTCGGAAAACAACTTCAGTAAGTTTGGAAGGGAAGTTGTTTTCCATAAGATGAGTGAAAATATTTTACATAAGAAAATGTTTTCAGTAACTTTTGTGCAACCAAACACGGGAAATTAGGAAAATATTTTCCTGGAAAACATTTTCACCCGAAACAAACGGACCCTAAATGGGTGACGTTTTCTTATTCCTATTAATAAATGAAAGTGTTGCAGTTTAGATAACTCAAATTATGTTTGGGGAAAAAACGAAAGAAAAGGTTGAGAACCGGGTTAACCAATCGAATCAGATCACTGGTTTAACCGATTTTTGATGGTTTTCTCGGGCCAGCCCGAGCTTGGCTCGTTCGGCGTTTGGCCGGAGAAAAAGCCCAATGAGCCCGACTTTTTAGTGAGCCGGTTTGAGTTTGAACCTAAAAATTAGGTTCGAATTAAATATGAGTCGAGTTTGGGTCTCATTAGATTCAAACCCGATATAGGCCGGCCCTTTAATTACCTATATATGTAATATTTATATTTTGATATTATGTATAATTATATATCCAAATATATTATTACTAAATACTAAATAAATACAAATTACAAAACACAAAAATACATCTGAAAACTCTTCTACTAACTTTCTTGAGAGTCAGTATTAGTAATGCATAACTGAATATCTAACATTTCTTATTGGTTGAGTAAATTTTTGTGTTGGTGTAATATTGGTTGATTTCTTTTTGGTCTAGAAACACAAATCATCAAACATGTTTGGATTCAAATCACAAGGTTATAAAGAAATTCCAACCTTTGAAAATGTATTGCCTTATGGCCACATGCTTTATTATTATTTTTCATGTATTTTGAACAAATTAGATATAAATATTGTTGAAAAATTTTTGGTTTATATACTATTTAAAAACTATTACTTGTTCATGTTTAGTTTTAATGTTGTAATCTTGTAAATGTTAAATTAGTTTTATAACTTAATAGTTATATTAATTATATTAAAAAAATTAAGGAGTAATAAGTGAGTTTGAGCTAAACCCGAATAAGGCTCACAACCTGAATATTATATGAGTTGAGTATGAGATTCATATTTATTAACTCGAAATCCATAACCCAAAGCCCGAAAATGTTACAAATTAAATGATGTGAACTCGAACTTATGAAAGCTTGACTCATTAGGTCCGATTGACAGGTCTAACTGCATAGGGGAGGGGGGGAAGACTTAAGGGGAAGGAAGGAGAAGGAGAAGGAGAAGGAGAGGGCAGGAAAAAAGAAGGTGGGTGGTGGAGTAGTCAAAATAAGATGCTTAAGATGGCGGACTTAACAAGTAAGCAAACAACATAACAAAAGGCGACGACCAAGACTAAGGCGACGACCAAGCTACCAATCTACCAAGTTGCAGACTTTCTTAAGGTGACGACCAAGACGAAGGTTCCAAGTTCCAACTATTTAAAAGAATGAAATTGCCATCGAATTTCCCCTAAGAAAGGGATGGGGGGTGACAGGGATAATTTTTACCTTCCGTTAAAAAAAAATGGGGTTAGGGATCCCGTCATACCCCGTCCCCAGCCATAATATATATATTATAATTACATATATAACATATTTAATATTATTATTTATACTAATAATTATATATTTATATTAAAGTAAATTATTGATTAGCTATATTAATATATTTATACTAAATTATTGACTATATTTTTATTAATTATATATTTCTTATTTACTATAAACTTTTTTTCTGCCGGCACCCACAGGAAAAATAGGGCGGGATGGAGGTGGGATAGGAGAAACGGGGGCGAGAGGATGTTTAGGCAACGGAGCGGGGCACCCAGTCGTTGCAATTCCTATTTGTAGATGCCAACTTGGTCTCGTCTATAAACAAGTTCAGTTTCAACAATTCAAAGATGGAGGAAATCAACGTTGTGAAAAAAGCTCAGCAAGAATGGATGGAGTTCAAGGAAGCTGAGGAACAAGAAGGCAGAAGAAGCATTACTGAAACAACTCCTAATCAGCAAAATAGAAGCCGGATACCACCAATGGAGGGTATGTATAAGATAAACACAGATGCTGCAATATTCTCGCAAATGATCAGAACAGGAAAAGGTATCATTTCTAGGAACTGGAAAGGGGAGATTCTGAAAGTCTGGGCAATAATAGAGGAAAAGATAGGAGAACAAGACTAGAAGAGGCCCGGACAATCAGAATAGCTCTGCAACTAGGCAAAGAAATAGGCTGGAGGAAGTTTGAGGTACAATCAGACTGCAAAAGTGTGATAGATTGTATCACAGCAAACAACTGCAATGACTACAACATTGCTGTGGTACTGGAGGATATTCAAGGGCTGAGGGAGTTTTTTGATCGATGCACTTTCTCCTTTGTCTATAGAATAGGCAATGAGTTGTGTCATAGGCTAGCGAAATTTGCTTTGAAACTAGTTAATGATGTAAAATGGGAAACAAACTTCCCAGGTTGGATAAAAGATCTAGCGCAAAAGGATAGTGAGGGCAGCATGCCCCTTTTGTAAGTATATACTTGTAATATCAAGTTTAAATCAATATGAAATGTTATCGTTTTGACAAAAAAAAGAATGGAATAGCATTGCCAGTTGGAACACGTCCATTGTTTGACTTCTTAAGGGTATGACTTAGTAAAGTATGCTTCTAACCAATCCTAATTATGTATTTCTTAGATTTTACATTTTCAGGGAATCCTATGTGGTGCGTTACATTTAAATTTTCACTTATAATTACTTTCTGACTACAAACTTCTTTTTTAACTTTGGCCAGAAGTTTCACAGATCAGTTCTTACTATAATTGTCAATGGTAATTGTACCATATAGCATAGACAATAGCACAAGATATTAGAAGAATAAATGTAGACATTCACACAATAATATATAAAAACACAACAAATTTTTGAACACAAATTTCAATGAGAGTAAAAGTTTATTGTATTTTTATTACCATTGTATCAGTGTCTATATTTATTGTTTTAGTACTTATACAACATCATATAGTTGTAATTAAGTCCTTGATTCAAGTTGTACCGGTCAAAACAAGATTTTCTCTTTTTAGGTGGTAAAAGATTCAACACGGGATATACCATGAGCCTTTTCCCTTTATCGTATTAAAGGAAAGAAGAAGAGTAAATTTTATATGAACTGTCATTTTATACACTATCACGGTTGGATGGATGACGCATAAGCAAAGTTTGAATTTCAAATTCAAATTTTGCACATATGTCATATATCTAATGGTGATAGTGTATATACTGATAGTGTATATAAAATTAATCCAAAGAAGAATATGATATTTCAACGAGAATAATAAGAAATAACTTAGCTGTTCTGCTAGAAGAATTGTAGCTTCAACCTTTTTCTTTTACTTGGATTTGACCAATTGTTGGTACACTAGACAAGCTGATTGGCCATTTTTCTACTTCCTCAGCTAAGAAATAAACTACAACCATCTCATATTCTACTTTTTAAGAGGCAAAAAAACACTAAACCGCATTGAAAGAAAAAGAGTGATCTAGCTAAAGCTATTTTATATTAGCCGAAAGTTGAAAAAAAATTAATTAAATAAAAGAGGGGATATCATATGTTTAATTGTAGACAAATGATTTGAAAGCTCAAAAATGGGTTCCAGTTTCCTGTTGTGAAACCGCGTGGTCAATTCTACATTAAAGAAATAGAAAAAAACATCTAAGAACAAAATAGACTCGAAAGTGGGATGAAGTTGAAGATTCTCCATGGACTTATGCCTAAAGGAAGACTTTATTCATGTGATAGTATCACAAGCCATGACCAGGAAAGCTCCGTCCAGGCAACTGGCTACCATGTGGCTTGACAGCTTAAATTGGTCCTTAATTTGTACAAATTGCACCAATTACTAAAATGGAAAGGATAGTATATGGGTTAATTAGAAAAATTATGTTCACCTTTTCTCCCCCAAATATGCTAGTTAAAAACTTTAAGGGTTAAATGCACCACACTCCCTGAACTTTACCCTTAGTTACACTTTGGCTCTCCGGGAACTCATTAAATAAGTATGTTGCCTTCCTATGATATTTTAAGACAAAAGTATCCATACAATTTTATTTTGTTTTTTTTTTGTTTATTCACTCCCTTATTTTTTTTCTTTTTCACGACCTTTTTTATTTTTCCTTTTTAAATATTTTTTCACTTCTCTCATATCA